GTGTGTGTGTGTGTGTGTGTGTGTGTGTGTGTGTGTGTGTGTGTGTGATGTACACAAGGAGGGCACCTGAGCCTGGTCCACACCAGTCAAAACCCTTCCCGGCTCCAAGCAGGAAACAACACAAAGGGATAGAAATGTCAGCTTCCATTTCAGGGTTTTGCCTATCTCTGCTGCTTCTACTGAATAGAAAGAGCATAGGACCAATAGAAAGGGATATGAGATCTCTTACTTTAAAAAAGCACGTTATTCCGATCTTTAAGAAATTGTTTGTATCTTTTTATTATATTTTATATATCTTTATATATGTGTGTATGTCTACCTATCTATTTATCTATCTGTCTGTCTATCTCTTAACATTTCCCCCCAATGTATTCCTCCCTACAACTCCTCCCAGAGAACAGGCATTTATGCAGAGAATTTAAAGGAGAAAAAAAGGAAGAAGAGGGAGAAATCAGAAAAACCTGTCAATACATGGGAAAAAAATCTTGTGTCATGTGCAAGCACATCTATGGGGGAGGGCATCCTTCCAGAAAAGGGGCTGCACCTCATTCTTAACAAAGCTTTCTTGTTCTACCCAGGCTATGTAGGATAATGGAAAGACCAGGTTGGAAATCCCTCATTTAATTCCCTCTTCCCAAATTTGCTACCAATATGGTGTCTTAGGCAAATCTTTTTAACTGTTTTGTACCTTGGTTCCCCCATGCTACAGAAATGGGAGGTATTATTATGTAACCACGGGCAAGGTTATTCCTGTTTTGGTACCTCACTTTCCCCATCTCCTCTGCAGTGAAGTGGAAACAGCCCTGGATTTTTTTTTTTGAAAAGCATTTTTGTAAGTATCCTACTGTGTGCCAGGCACTGTGCTAAGCATTTTACAATTATCTCATTTTATCTTCACAAAAACTCTTGAGAGATAGGTGCTGTTGTTATCTTACAGAGAAGGAAACTGAGAGTTTTGACTTCTCACTTTGTGTGACCTTGGGCAAGTCACTTATATTCAATAAACTTTTTTTTTTTGGTCATTTACTATGTGAAGGGTTGTGATTTAACTGCTGGGGATATAGGAGTTGTTTGTGATCAGAGAGAAGAATTTTGGAGCTCTGGTTCATGGAGGGCTGATAATAGAGATAATGAGAGAATGGAGGTCATGATCATGTGGGAGTCAGGGCGTAAAAGTGCAGCTCCTGGGAATAGTGGAGGTTAATTACCTAGGGAGCCTGATGGTTGAGGGGACATTGACACAAACATGGATGCCCCCAAGGTGGAGGTTATCTGGTTAGGAGGTGGTATCTACCTACCTGGGGTCAGGTACATAGGTTCCCCTCTCTGAGCCTCAGTTTCTAAACTCTGCAATGACCTGCAGCCTTTTGTGGTGATGAATATACCTCCGAGTTCTGTCATTAAGTGCCCTGTAAACAGAAGGTGCTATTATGTAAATACTCACGTAGAATGTAGCCAGACAGGGATGGGTATTTTATCTTGTATATAAGCAGATGCCACTGGTGTATTTGTAACAAGATCTTAATGATATGGTCCATTCTCATGGAACACCTACCTCCAAGGCACCAATGCCGAGATACCATTAGCCCTTGTGACAGACGGTCCTTGGGGGCGGAAAGAGATTGGTTCTTGTAATTGACACTTTGCACATGGCCATACTGAGGCAACTTTGTATCATTTGTGCCTGCTGTGAGTAGGCTAATAATGCCTTTACCATAATGAGTGGGACATGCCATTAAGTGATGGAAAACACACACACACACACACACTCTTTCTCTTTCTCTCTCTCTCTCTCTCTCTCTGTCTCTCTCTCTCTCTCTGTCTCTCTCTGTCTCTCTCTCTGTCTCTCTCTCTCTCTGTCTCTCTCTCTGTCTCTCTCTCTCTCTCTCTCTCTCTCTCTCTCTCTCTCTCCAACTATGAGAGTGGGTAAGTAATTTGCCCAAGCTGCAGAGTCAGGACTGAACTCAGGTCCTGACACTCTGAACACAGTGTCTTTCCACTGGTCCAACACTGCTTTCCCCCTCAATACACAAGGATCCTAAGCTTCCCTGGCTAAAACCTAAACTTTATTTCACTTGTCAGGGTTGCTTGGAGGTGGGATTTCTACCTGGAGTAGAAGTAGGTTGGACTAAATAAATGACCTCTGGTATCCTTTCCAATTGAGATCCTACAATAAAAAAAAAGGGGGTGGGACAGGTGTGTTTCAAGTTACAGATGGACAGCCTAAGTGTTGTACTGGCATTCAGAAAATATTAAAAGACACGGAGGAAAGGCCTCTGGCAAGTTTGGATGGGCAGGGAGTGGGCGGGCTGCAATCTGAACTGGTGAAGGTAGTTCTCATCTTGATGATATAA